AGACACAAGAAGAACATGCAAATAAAAATGCCAGCGGTGGAATCAACCCGACCTTCATCCTCTTGTGAAGTAATGTTTATTCATAAAGCGCATTTTACAAACTACGGTTGCCCAAAGCGCTTTACAAAGTTCAGATATTTGTCCATTCTCCCCACACGATGATGACGGAAAAGTATGCACAATTCATACAATGTAACCAAAAGTCCTTCACAAGCAATTAAAAAAATAAAAAGATCAAAACAGTGCAAATATGGTGGGGCAAACAAGTATTTAGTCCGCCACCAATTGTGCAAGTTCTCACACTTAAAAAATATGAGGGAGACCTGTAAATATCCATCATATTTTGCAAACTAATTCTATAAAAATCATCATGCATCATCTTCTCTTTCAGTCTCTCATTGTTCAGGTTGTGATGAAAATTAAAGGCCTCCCTCATCTTTTGAAGTGGGAGAACTTGCGCAAATGGTGACTGACTAAATACTTGTTTGCCCCATAAAATATATTGTATAATTAATGCTTCAAATAAGTCCTGGCATGATTTAAACATTGCCAGGGACGAGATCTGTGTCAAAAGCTCAGGGAGACCTTTCCAGATTCTGTCCGCATAAGAATCCCCCAATCAACACTATCCATTCACTTGCTCATTAAATTCATACCTATGTTGAATCAAAAAACATACATTCATACAGTGCTACACAATCATTCCCATGTAGACAGTTGAAGGCAAAAGTGCGATGGTAGATTTTAACCGAGATAGATATATTACTTTTCTGCTGAATGAAAAACCATAGAACATTGTTTTCTTCCCAAATAACCCTGGTTTTACAGCCTAAGCGAGGCAGTGTTGTAAGTGTTTGAAAGTGACTGGAAGTTTGAGGAGTGTGTGGAGCAAACTGTAGCTCATCACTGAAGGTCAACAGCACTGGACCCCATCTCAACCCGAAAACTCTCTGGATCTCCATGGACGTCACACAAAGACCGAACACAAAGGTTGGTGTGCGGTCGCCGGTCGTCCGTGAGGGAAGACCGTGGCTCCTCGCTGCAGTTCGTTTCAAAGAGGTTGTATTGGTCCCCGGATGAGTAACTGTTAAATGTCAAACAGCAAAGTCAACAAGAGCTGAAAGTGAAAAGAACACATGAAAAGGTAAAGGGCTTGTTGTTGTCGAGCGGAACAATTCACAAACGGTGCTGGCTCTCGTCGGAGCTCTGACTTTGTTGCGTTTTATGCTTCTTTTTAAGTGGCTTCAGAGTTCTTTTCTGAATGTCACTTTCACTTGACGGGTTTGGAAGTCGTGGATGTTTTTGTTGTTCAATTAAATGCAGAAATAACTAATAATAGGTTGTCAGCTTCACTTAGAGTAACGGTCTGTTCTGTCAGAGGTTTCCACCATTTTAAAAACCCCATCGATAAGGAAATAAAAATTATATAAAAGGCCAACATTTGGATCCTTCCTGCCTGATACATAATTTTTCCATTTTTCTCATTCAGGAGCCTCTATTGCACTGAAAATGTATTGCCACCTAATTTGACTGTGTGGTTTAATCTTTTCTATGTATAAGCCATAATGTGTGCATGTGCTTTTCTCGGACATGCAGTGAAGTCACATAGTTCTTAAATGTTGTGATACGAATATTTAATAAAGGTTTCAGATGTTCTTAACCTCAAGAGTTAATTTCAGTTGTGGACAGTAAAACAGTAATCATTTGTTTCCTAATATTTGGAGTTATTTTAGCCTCATCCACTAATTCTAATTTATAGTGTCAACAATTAAAATAATGAATTATGATTAATTGCTATAACGTCATAGTTAACTAGTATTTAACAAGTATTTGTTTACTGCTTTATACACATAGTAGAAACGCTTGAATTGTCTAATAAAGGCAACTATTTTATATTCAAGTCAGTTCTAATGTCATACTCCCAAATTTAGACTTTAGAAAATCATTGTATATCTTTTACCAAAGCGTAATGAGATCGTATGAGTGTGTGTCGGGAGATGGGATGTGATGGTTTGAAGAGTGCAAAGTATTCCAAGATCTTCCGTGGCCTTGGTGCTGTATCTGCTCTCCGAGTGCATGATCTAGTATTGTTTTTTTGCCATGTTTTTCCAAACTCATGAAATGGTAACGCAAAAATATATTGTTGCAAGTAAAAAACCAAATGCGACGAATGTGTGATTTTGCTTCATATTGATCGCAAGAGTAGAATAACTACAATGGGCTTTACAATTAAGGTTTTCAGTTTCCTGCTACATGGAACATTTTTGATCATCTTTCTATCATTTAAAAAGTACTTTTTGTTTTCACATTTTTAATCACAACAGCAGCAGTCCACATTTGTCATCATTCTGAAACCCATATCTGTATAAAGCTGGGTCCCACATGCCACCCTCTGACAGCCCTCCCAACTGAAACGTCAAGACATCTTTTTGTCTTAAACTAGACAGATTAAACAACCATTTCGAATGAAGCATTTAATAAATAAGTAATATTGTCGTATTCTCAGGCCAGAAAAAAAAAAGTATTTTACTGTATATCAATGAAAAACCCATTGGCTTGGACTATTCTCTTTTGTCTTTTTTCCCTGGTATACATAATTTGCCTAAACCGGGGACCCGATATTTCGAGATAAAGAGAAAGATAGAAGAAGCGATTGAAATTCATGGTACTGTTTCATTCTTCCCGCAAAATAATGAATCCCGCTGCATGCCCCCTGGGTTTGAGTAATTGGAAACTTTAGGGGGCTCTGAGGCGTTTGTCATTCCAAACTTGATCATTTGATATTGCTCTCATAAAAGGACTTAAAGGGTTATTAAAGCTATTAAAAAAGCTGTTTCCATGGTTTCATTATGATTGTGGCTGACACAGTACAGTTCATCAAAGTGATGGGTGACATCTGAAAAAAGAGCCGAGTCTGACAGAGCAACAAATAATGAAGACTCGCCGTGAAAGATTATAAACCAGAAGCTGCGTAGAAAGTTATTTAAAGCAGGCAAATGACAGCAGCTACTAAAATGTGACAGGTATGAGGTGGGGAGTCAGATGTGTAGAATGCATTCGAAATAATGAGCAACTGAGTTAACTCGCTAATAAAGGCTATCATAAAAGGTATAATTGGACCCTTGCTTGGAATTTCTTAAATAAAACAGCACATTGACACAGCTAATTTAAACAAAAGGCCCAACCAATTATTATTGTACATTTTAGACATGACCACGTTTACAAGCCCTTAGTGCTTAAAGCGACATTACAATTGCAATACAAAAGTTGTTGTATCCTACCTGCTGGGGTTTAGCTAGAATTAATACAAATTTCCAAAATACACTTATTATCTTTCTATCTATCCATAGATATTTTGAAAGATTGATATTGAAGAATTTACAGCTATCTAAGAAACATAGCAGCTACTTATTTTGTATATTTTGTATGCTCCCTGTTTTCTCTTACTATTGTCCCGTATGTGCGCTGCAACATTGAAATTTCCCCCACTGTGGGACGAATAAAGGATCTCTTATCTTAAACTCTGACTGTTATGTACGACTACTTGTTGCCATTTTTGTGTGGTGCCATTTTTATGTAAAAAATGAGTACTTTGAACACCTCTGGGAACACCAGGTGCCACAGTGGGGGGTCTCTGATTGTAAAGTGCCAAACTGGAGTTGTGTCCTTAGACAAGACACTTCACCCACATTGCCTAGATTGAGTCTGGTGTGTGTTGATGGGTTGGCGGTGAACAGAGGGGCCGGTAGTGAATACTGGTTGCCTTGCTTTTGTCAGTTTTTCCAGGGCAGTTGTGGCTACAGAAGTTGTTTATAATCACTGTATATGGAGTGAAAGAACATTAAGTATCTTTGAGTCCCCAAAAAGTGCTGACTCCATTTCCCTGTCCTCTTGTCTGGGCTTGTGAAACTGCAGTGTGAGAGGAGCAGCTCTGATGTCGCTCTCTACCAGTTTGTTTGTCTACGTACCTCATCCAGTCTGCCCATTGCCTGCACGCCTTCTCATCTGCCTGCACAACATTATTTAGTTTCTTTTTTTTCTTTATTGAATACAGAAGAGTTTTGAATAACCAAACGAGTGTCTGCTTTATGAGTCTTTTTACATTTGTGACACTCTGATTGGGTGTGACGGAGCAGCCTCCGTCAATGCCCAGGGCAGTCTCCCCAGTCCGCGCGCACTCCCCCCCGCACACACGCACATGCATACATACCTAACTCACTTGCCTGTTTGTCGTTCCTGTTCCTTGTCAGTCCGTTCCGTTCCCATCCTCGTTCATTAATTCATCCCAGTTGTCTTGGGTGCACACTAGGCCTCTGGTTAACCATTCCCATCCATAGTTTTGCACTCCATAAAGTTTCCACTCAGTATCCGTCTCCCCACCAAACTCCAACCCGGCAAACCGAGCACAGTCCGCGCTTCCTGTTTTGAGCACCTCGTACGTACGTCTGCGTCTGACTTCATTGGTGACGTCATCGTATTTTTCTGTTTTTTTTTGGAAAATGTATTTTATTATTTTTCCTCTGTAGTCTACAGGTGCAGAGGAGAACTCTACAGTAGAAGAGTTGCTTGTGGATTTATCCATATTTTTGTTATTATGAACCTAATCATTGTTTATGTAGAAACTAAAAGTTTATGACTTAATTGACATGTAGGAGGAGCCAGAGGGGTTTAAGACTAGGCCAGCCTCTACTGTCAGTGTCAGTGTGAGTCTGAACTGGGACAGAGGAGGTAAGCCAGGAGACCTTCTTGCAATGTGGTTTTTTCTGTAAATACTGTAAATATGTTTATTAATCACTGGTTTGTTTTCGGTACAGCACTCCTCTTCAATACTTCAATACTTTATTCTTAATTATTTTATTCTTTATTTTGGGAATAAAACTTTTAAAAGTACATCATCTTATTTCACATTCAGAACCCCGTCACATATGGTGTCAGAAGTGGGATGGCGAGCCAAAGAAAAAGAAAAGTACTTCGTTCCCAAAGAAAGTGTGAAGAGGAGTATGCTTCTGATGATGCGGTGGAGACTACGGTCCATGAGCACGGTGGTGCCACTGCGCCACCTATGTAAGAGCTCGTGGTCCTCATGAAGGATTTCATGCAAGGTCAGCAGAGGAGAGAGGAGGGTCTGCTTGAAGAGATCCGTAACCTCCATACGACGCTGCAGTCACCTTCACCCGCATCGAGAGCTGGGGCTCCAGGAACTTCTCGGGCAACCAGTCCAAGGATGGATTTGCCAACCCCTGGACCTTCAAGGCGACCCCAGGGCGAGTCGACCACACTGCACCGGCTGTCAGAACAGGGTTCTGCTGGTCTGGACAATGCACCCCCTTTAGATTGGCGACCATATGCAGTGGAGCCAAAGATTCCTCCATTCCAGATTGGGGAGGACATTGAAAATTATTTGTTGCGGTTTGAGCGCATAGCTAAGACTTAGAGATGGCCAGAGTCTGAGTGGGCATGCCGTCTCGTACCACTGCTGTCTGGAAAAGCATTGGAAGCTTACACAGCTATGGATGAAGATGAAGCTCACTGCTACAAGGACTTGAAAGAAGCGCTATTAACCAAATTTGACATTTCCCCTGAAACTTTTAGGCATCGGTTCCGGTGTCCCACAGTTCCGTCTGGAGAGACCCCGACTGAGACATATCATCGCCTCAAGAGCCTGTACCGGAGATGGGTTCGTCCCGACCAGCTCACCAAGGAGCAAATCGGAGAGCTCGTAATCATGGAGCAGCTTCTACGTGTACTACCACCCGACGTCCGTACCTGGGTCCGAGAGCATGAGCCTGAGGATGGTCTTACCGCGGCCAGATTGGCGCTGCAGCACCAGAACACTCGTCGAGGAGGACCTCCTCGGTTCACCAGTTCTGCACCACGATCTTCGCGGACATGTGCACATAACTTCCGTGAGCAAGTCAGGACACCAGAGGTAACCCCAGCTCTGCTTCAACTCAGCCATTGACTGGTAAGCCTTTTGTTTGCTTTTACTGTCAGCAACAAGGACATAAAGCGTCCGTTTGTCCAGTGCGGAGGGATAAGCTCACTGGAGCATGCTATGCACCTCGTGAAGAGAGTGAGCATCCTAACCCTCTGGGACTAAAGAAACGTACATTTAAGACTGTGACTGTGACAACAGGTGACAGCACTGTTAGACAGTGTTAGTTTCACCTCCCTGTTAAAGAAGAACTTTGTGTCGGTCAACTGTTTGGACTACACTGTAAAAAATGATATTGTGTGTGTGCATGGTGACAGCTATACATACCCAAAGGCAGAAGTGACTATCCTGATTGATGACCAACCGTATCTTATGACTGTGGCTGTGGTAGAGAACTTACCTGTGGACTTAGTACTTGGTACTGACTTACCTGTTCTTCTAGATCTACTGCAGAAAGTCAATGTCATACTGTTCCTAATGTTAATGATCTGTGCAAAGTAGCATGTCCTGTTGTTACTAGGGCTCAGGCCAAGGCTGGTGTGGAAAACCCTGCCTGACCTAGATGATGACTTGTTTGAGGGAGGAACAAAGGGTCCCAAAAAGTCTAAGCGGCAGCGCAGGTTTGAGAAAAAGCTAATGCTAAGTGACCAGAAGGACCAATGCATGAATGTTGATGACCTGTGGAAAGTGCCTGACAATATTGCCGAGTTACAGAAACAAGATGTGTCATTGAGAGCCTGTTTTGAAAAGCTGCATGCTAAAGCTAATGTCAATGCTAATGTTACTGGGAAAGAGCAGTTTACTGTGATTAACAATGTGTTGTATATCTCTGAGAATTCTCAGAAACGTCTAGTTGTCCCTGCACCTTGTAGGCACTTCCGTGGGCTGGACATTTTGCTCGCCATAAGACCTACTTGCGTGTTAGTTCCCGTTTCTATTGGCCAAGGATGTATCGTGACATTGAACAGTTTTGCACCACATGTCCGACATGTCAAAAGACCGCTCCCACGCTTCTCCATCCACTGCCCATTATTTCTACACCGTTTCGTAGAATAGCAATGGATATTGTTGGCCCGCTAGTAAAGAGCGCCCGTGGTCACCAATATATTCTTGTACTCTGTGACTATACGACCAGATATCCAGAGGCATTCCCACTCCGTACAATCACTGCACCCACTGTTCTTCGTGCCATGGTTCAACTGTTTTCAAGAGTCGGAATTCCAGATGAAGTGTTGACGGACCAAGGGACTAACTTTACATTTCGTCTCTTACAGTTGTTTCACAGGCAGCTTGGGATCACTGCACTATGAACCACACCCTATCCCCCTCAAACTGATGGCCTCGTGGAAAGGTTCAATCAAACCCTGAAAAGGATGTTCCAAAAGTTTGTCAGCGACACAGGAAAAGACTGGGACAGATGGCTGCCATTCCTTTTGTTTGCATATAGAGAGGTACCGCAGGCATCCAATGGATCCTCCCCTTTTGAGCTGTTGTTTGGCTGGGACGTTCAAGGACCGAGGGATATTTTAAGCAAAGCTTGGATCGCCCCAGAGACCAACTCAAATGAGCAGGGCATTATGCAATATGTTTTACAGATGCGGGACAGGTTGGCAACCTATCGCGATGAAGCGGAAGAGAACCTGAAGGAGGCTCAGAAGAAGCAGAAAACCTGGTATGACCAGCAGTCCAGACAACGAGAGTATCAGCCAGGTCAGAAAATTCTCCTACTACTTCCCTCCTCCAACAGCAAGCTGTTGACCAAGTGGCAAGGGCCATACACAATCCGAGCGCCAGAAATGTGACTGCTGGTGAGGCAGGTGGAAGAGGCTGAGGATGAAGACCCCGGTGTACCCATCGTCACCGATCCCTCAGAACCCCTCGTGGCACACCTTGCTGCAGACCAAGCTGCCGATCTCCTTGAAGTCTTCAGAGAAACGCCCTCACTGTTTGCTGCCGAACCCGGAAGGACAACGCTGATCGAGCATGTCATTCGTCTTAAGGACCAAAACCCCGTACGTCAGCGACCCTACCGTGTCCCTCAGCAGCTGGTGGCCCAACTTCGGCAAGAAGTAGAGTCCATGCTGGAGCTTGGAGTCATCGAGCCGTCTACATCAGAGTGGTGTAGTCCAGTTGTTATTGTTTTTAAGAAAAATGGATCCTTGAGGATCTGCATTGATTTCCGGAAACTCAATGCCATCTCAGAGTTTTATGCATACCCGATGCCGAGGATTGATGATCTCCTCGATCGCATTGGCTCAGCAGCCTACATCACAACCCTGGACCTGTGTAAAGGTTATTGGCAGGTGCCGTTGGAGGCTTCAAGCAGACCTTACACCGCATTCAGAACGCCAGCCGGACTTTTCCAGTTCACGGTAATGCCCTTCGGTTTGCACGGTGCCCCTGTTTGACCCTAAATGTGGCCAAATGTGAGTGGGCTCGCCGTGAAACCCGGTACCTCGGTTACCAGCTCGGTAGAGGAGAGGTGCGACCGCAGTTGGATAAGGTGGAAGCTATCCAGAAGTGTCCTCGTCCTCGAACCAAGAAGGAGGTTCGATCCTTCCTGGGTCTCGCTGGATGGTATCGGAGGTTTGTGCCGCAATTTGCCACAATCGCAGCACCACTCACAGCCCTAACGACAAAAGATTAAAAAAACCCGGTAACATGGACAGAAGCATGTGAAGAAGCTTTTAATACTTTAAAGAATCTGCTTTGTTCTTCTCCAGTTCTCCGCAGTCCAGATTTTGACCGTCGGTTCCTCGTGCAAGTAGATGCCTCGGAGGTGGGTCTGGGAGCTGTACTTACCCAAGAAGAGTCTGGAGCCGAGCAGCCGATCCTGTACCTGAGCCGCAAGTTATTACCCCGAGAATCCCGCTACTCCGTAGTAGAAAAGGAAGGATTAGCCATCAAATGGGCCCTAGAGAGTCTAAAATATTACTTACTTGGTAGAGAGTTTGATCTAGAAACGGACCATAGAGCCCTCACATGGATCAACTCTATGAAAGACCACAATGCCCGTCTAACTCGATGGTATCTTTCATTGCAGCCCTTCAAGTTTGCTGTCCGCCACCGTTCTGGCAGATCCAATTTGGTAGCCGACCTGTCCAGGTTGCCAAAACTTTGTCAACCTTCGGGAGGAGAAGGATAATGTGACGGAGCAGCCTCCGTCAATGCCCAGGGCAGTCTCCCCAGTCCGCGCGCACTCCCCCCCCCCCGCACACACACACATGCATACATACCTAACTCACTTGCCTGTTTGTCGTTCCTGTTCCTTGTCAGTCCGTTCAATACTTCAATAATTAAATACTTTATTCTTATTTATTTTATTCTTTATTTTGGGAATAAAACTTTAAAAGTACTCTGGCTGCGCCATCATCTTATTTCACATTCAGAACCCCGTCACATTGGGTAATCTGATTAAAAACGGTAAATTATGATCATTTTATTTTGTATTAATTAATAAATACTGTCCTGTTTAAACACAATTTTTATCTAATGTTTTATTGAATGAAAAATGTAGATACCTATTCTAAGATTTGTATTAACTAATTGATCATAATTGAAGTCATAATTGATTGAAATATTTGACTCTATTCAGAATCAGCCAAATTATTTGCAGTTTGAAACACCTCAAGCACCTCGCTTTAAGCAATAAAGTGCTTGATTAACCATATTGCATGCTCAGTTTGTTTGGTTTATACATCTGTGTATATAATATTGGCAATATTATATAAAATATAATATAAGGCAAATGTTGAACTTTTCTCCATGTTTTTATTATTTCTAGATGTACCAATATAAGTAAATTGAAATACCACATTAGAATTGCAGCATTTTAATACTTAATAGGATTAAAATAGGACTTTTAGGAAAAAGCAGGTTGGTAGCATTCCGTTTCTACATTAAAAGTAAATGCATTATTGCAAGGCTCCACAAGCATCAGAAATTTGGTGTGAAAAAATAAAATTGTGAGCTTGCTCCGGAATGTATTCACCTGTAAAAAGGGCTAACTCGCTGGAATTCACACTGTGAAGAGTTTGCTCAGAGAAAAAAATCTAAAGACGAATAAATGTTCATGAATGGAAGCTATAGGATCGGAGGATTATTCGAAATGAAGGTATTTTTAAACTAAAAATACAAACCAATATCATAGTATAAAAATTGACAATGCTAACTCACTAGCTCTAGGAAGCTTTGGGCTTCATAGTTGGTCCATATGAAAAAAACCTGTTTACTAATAACAAATGTGAGGTATTTAAGAATATTTACCTCCACCAGGGTTTTGTGATTTTATTCAAAGGCTTAGAACTTATAAATGTTCATGAGAGCAGAGCACTCTCCGTGTCAACCCGGTATCTTGAAATACAGTGGTGGATAAGGGACAAAAAGGATGAGAGAATTGCGTTTTAGTTTCACAGGTGCTACTGATATTGTTGCTTTCACCGTGCCTTCACAAGTTTGAAGAAGGGATCATGGAGGACCAGAGATGCACACAAGTCTCTGACCCACAAGTCCAAGTCCCTAGCCCAGGAGTCCAAGTCAAGTCCGAGTCTCTGGACCCGCAAGTCCAAGTCTAAGTCTATGCCCTGGAGCCCAAGTCAAGTCCAAGTCCCTAGCCCAGGAGTCCAAGTCAAGTCCAAGTCTCTGGACCTGCAAGTCCAAGTCTAAGTCCATGCCCTGGAGCCCAAGTCAAGTCCAAGTCCCTAGCCCAGGAGTCCAAGTCCAAGTCTCTGGACCCCCAAGTCCAAGTCTAAGTCCATGCCCTGGAGCCCAAGTCAAGTCCAAGTCCCTGGACCGCAAGTCCACGTCAAGTCCAAATCTCATTTCCTACACATAAAAATTAAGGCCAATACAATTTAAAATGGACTAAAATATATGAATTCATTGTATTGTTTTTTAGAGCGCAATTTTCCAGCCTAAAACATTTCAGCCTGCAGGTCACACCGGGGCTGGACTAGGACCAAAAAACGACCCTGGGATTTTTGCCTCCTCAACGGCCCGGCCCGGTTTGTTGTCACATTTTTTTAACG